TAAAGATAGAATCTAAAATGTTAGGCTTTGTGCTTTCCCAGATCAACTGCACCTGCGTAAGCAGTATGATATATAATTGTTAGATGTGACGATTGTTTAGTAATTAAATGTAATTAATATATAACCATAAGAAGAATAGTGAGAAACTATGTTGGAAATTCAGAGAGGGGCTAAATTTATGTATACAATAGAACAATACAAGTTTAATAATTAACATGAAAGTTATGAAACGATAGAGTATAAAACATGATCATTTCGGATGTATGGTCGGAATTAGATTTGGGTTGAATATACCCCGATTCCCAGAGCTCTTAATAAAAAGCACCGCATATAATCCCCCGTGATTATGTGTTTTTGAACATGTCCACACCCAGGTGGACACACTGACCAGTGCCCAGGTGGACACACTGACCACACAAATCCAGGTGAACACGCTGACCTGTCCACACCCAGGTGGACACACTGACCAGTGCCCAGGTGGACACACTGACCTGTCCGTGACCAGGGGCTTCATGGGCGGGGATGAAGAAACAGAAACCAACTCTCCATCCTCGCCAACTTCATCGTCACTGGAATTCTGGAGCAGCTCCGACTCCTCCTCGTCCCCATCCCCTCCCTCTTTCTTCCTCCTCAGGAGAGGTTTGCTGGAGCCATCCACCTGGTTGCCATAGTTACCTCGAGGAGAAAAAAAAAACAAAAAAAAGAAAAAAATAAATAAAAAGTGTACTTGATTCACAGGGTTTTAACTCCCAGCTGTGGGATTGAATTCAGGTTGGCAAAAGTTTTCTCTGCTGAAGTCACAGAGAACGTTGGAGTTTGACTTTCTGGAACCACATCCAGGAGCTGGAAATTAGGGAGAGGTGTCTGTGCCCTGCTCCTGCCCCCTCTCAATCCCCTGGGAATCCCCTGGCATCTCTGGAGGGTGAAACCAGGATGGAAGAGAGGGATCAGCTCTACTGGGCAGAGCCCACCAGGCACAAAATGGGATCCCACATCCCTCATGCCCACGAAGGAGCCATTCCCTGCTCCCCAAACCTGCTCTAGCAGGGGTTGGAATGGAAAATCAGGAATAAACCCCACCCCCAGCTTTGAATTCTGATTTTCATCACCATCACAACTCCCCCCCAGAAAACAACCAACCTATGGTGACCTCAAAGTTAATGGGTTTGTCCCCAATCTTCCTGTCGATCATGGTGGCCTCCAGGAAGGCTCCGAAGAGGAAGAATTCCTCCATCTTCCCACTGCAGTTCTGAAGGAGAAAAGAGATCCCAGGGCTGAGGGTCGGGGTCAGAGGGAGAGACACATCCATCCCTCAGGATGCCATTTCCAAAGGGATGGGGAGGATTTTGTCTCCCATCTCCTGGCTCATTGTAAAACGTCTTTAATTGAAGATTTCCTTTTAATATCTTTTAATTAAAGATAACCTTGAGCTGGGTTCAGGCACATTCAGGAATACAAGCCTTGGTTCAATTAATTGATCAAACCACAAAAACCCAGGTGCCTGGATGCTCACATGGAATTGGAATGGTTCTGTTTCCAGGTGGTTTCATTCCCCTGGGCTGGGAAATAAAGGAGATTGGTTCTTGGTTTCTGATTGAAACCTTGTTTTCTGATTGAAACCCATCCGGATAAGAGTGGGATAACTGGAATTAGGGGATGACTCACTGCCCATGAGTAATTCCCTCTTGGAGAAACATCCCTAGGCTCAGGAGATGATAGAAATTGTGGAATGGTTTGGGTGGGAAGGGACCTTAGAGATCATCCAGTTTCATGGGCAGGGTCACCTTCCTCTATCCCAGAGTACTCCAAGCCCTGTCCAACCTGGCCTGGGACACTTCCAGGGGTGGATCAGCCACAGCTCCTCTGGGAAAGCTGTGCCAGAGACAAACAATGTCACTCTGACATTCCCAGTGCTCCTAAGGGAAGTGAGCGCTGGAATGAGCCTAAAACCTGAAATTTTGCAAGATTTCCTTCCATTCCTCTGTGAGATCCGGAACAGCTGGGACAACACTTGAAATCACAAAATTCACACAATTCACAGAATCACAAGGTTGGAAGAGAACTTCAAGATCATCGAGTCCAACCCAGCCCCAACACCTCAGCTAAATCCTGGCACACAGTGCCACATTCAGGCTTTGTTAAACACACCCAGGGATGGGGACTCCACCACCTCTTTGGTCTCTGGAAATTCCCAAAATTCCCAGAATTCACAGAATGACCAAGTTGGAAGAGACCTCCAAGATCATGGAGTCCAACCCAGCCCCAACACTTCCACTAAACCCTGGCACCCAGTACCACATCCAGGCTTTGTTAAACACACCCAGGGATGGGGACTCCACCACCTCCCTGGGCAGAACATTCCAGAACTTTATCATCCTTTCTATAAAAAAACTTTTTCCTGATATCCAGCCTAAATTTCCCTTGGTGCAGCTCAAGGCTGTGACCTCTGGTTCTGCCTGGAAAAAGAGCCAAGCCCCAACCGAACACAGCCACCTTTCAGGAGGTGTAGGGAGTGATAAGGTCACCCCTGAGTCTCCTTTTCTCCAGGCTGAACACCCCCAGCTCCCTCAGGGGTTCCTCACAGGTTTTGTGTTCCCAGCTCCTCTCCAGCCTCATTGCCCCCTTTGGACACATTCAAGGATCTCAAGGATCTCTTGGGAACGTCCTTCCCAAACTGAGGGGCCAGAACTGGGCACAGAACTCAAGGTGGGCCCTCACCAGTGCCCAGTACAGGGGCAGAATGACCTCCCTGCTCCTGCTGACCACACCATTCCCAATCCACAAAAATCCTAAATTCATGAGACCAAAGGTAACAATCCAATATTCCATAAACCCCAAACTGTCCCCAGGATCCTGTGGGGTTATGGGAACACCTGTGGGGTCACGGGGCACTTACATCTGCCACCGCTGTGGCCTGTTCCACCTGGACCTCAGTGGAGCTGTTGATCTCGGGGTTGGTGGTGTCCAGGATCTCCACGGCCAGGCCCAGCAGGAGCCGGGCACGGAAGGAGACGCCCTCGCCCAGGCCCTCGTTGAGCTCCTGGTGCTCGTCCATGAGGGTGTAGTTCCGCGTGGAGCCGTACATGTTCACCCAGGCGGGGCCGAAGGTGGGCAGGAAACCTGAGGGGGTGGAAGGGGATGGAGAGGGAAAAGGGAATGTCTTGGCAGCCGTGGTTGGCATCACTTTCCTGGTCTCTGTGTGGTGACACAGACTGGGATGTGTTCTTGTGTGTCCATGAATGTGTGGTTGCCGCAATCCATGGAGACAGTTTTCAGGGAATCCCAGGATGACTTGGGTTGGGAAAGAGCTCCCAGACCATCAAGTCCAACCTGATCCCCACCTTGTCCCCAGCCCAGAACACTCAGTGCCACATCCAGGAATTCCCTGGACACCTCCAGGGATGCGCACTCCAAACCTCCCTGGGCAGCCCCTTCCAAGGCCTGAGCACCATTTCCATAGGGAAATTCCTCCTGGTTTCCAACCTGGCACAACCAGGGTGAGTGGAAAGATTTAAGCCTTTCACCTCAATCTCCTGCCAAATGCATTTGCAGGAGATTTTTCTGGCAGTTTTCCCACCCAATCCCAGCACTGCCAAGGCCTCCACTAACCCGTGTCCCCCAAATGGATGTTGCCACATCCAAATGGCTTTTAAATCCCTCCAGGGGTGGAAACTCCACCCGTGCCAGGGATCAACAGCCATTTCCAGGAAGGAATTTTCCAGATATCCACCCTGAGCGTGCCCTAGCCCAGCCTGAGGCCATTTCCCCTTGTCCTGTCCCCGTTCCCTGGGAGCAGAGCCCCCCGCCCTGGCTGTCCCCTCCTGTCAGGACTTGTGCAGAGCCACAAGGGAATCCCCTGGAGTCTCCTAGGGTTTTTGGGGAGAAATTTGCAGGCAAGGCAGTGATGGGAACTGGAGAGGTCTTCAGCAAGTCCCCATTTTGAGGTTCAAGGAAGGAGAACCCCCCATTAGTCCCTTTCCAGTCCCACATTTGGTTTCCCATCTTTGCCCTCAAATGCTCATCCATCCATGGAATTTTTGGAAGAGAAAATTGTTCAGGGGTGTCTTTGCTTTCAGGTATTGGCTGAAGGTTTGTGACAAATCTTGGTTTTCAGGGCACTGGCCCACAAACCTCTCACATTTCAGGACATCAAGGTCTCTCCTGATGGGCACCCAGAAATTCCAGGGGTGGAAAGGAGCCTGGAAAACTTTGGGAACTCTGCCTCTGTAACTTTTATGCCCCCACTTCAACTTTACCTTTGTCCCCCTCATTGGAGATCTTCCTCAGGTCGATGAAATGGGTCCCGATGGCCACGTCGTTGACCTTGTCCGAGTCCCGGATCTGGATCTTGATCCGCTTGCACAGGGGGGGAAACATCTCTGTGAAGATGATTTGCTCGTTCCAGAGGGGCTCGTAGCTGCTCTTCTGTATGGATGTCTTTCCCTGGGAATCGAGAGGAGATGGATATCAGACAAGGGTTGAGTAAGAGATGAGAGATGTGAGGACTCCAGGCAACTCTTCAAAATGCAGTTTATTGTACCCAAGGTGTTACAGCAGTCCAGGGTTGTGGGATGTTGGAACTCTGGATGCTGAGAATTTTGAATTTTCTGTGCTGAAAGGCACACACCCGCAGGAGAGCACTGCATTTGACCTGGAGATGTGGAGAAGCCTTCCAAAACTGATTAATAGCGCCAGGATTACAGATGTGGAGTTGGTTAGATGTTTGTGATATCACAGGATGAAAAAACTTAGATTTGGGGTTTTAGTATATGGTGATACATGGGAGTCAAGATGGAGAATTTTGGGTGTGGGTTAGATGTCTTTTTTGCACCTTCTTCCTCACGGATGTGGTTAGTTTTCTCTAATTGGGTTTAGAGATTGATGGAGAATTTTGACAGATTGATGGAGAATTTTGGGTGTGGGTTAGATGTCTTTTTTGCACCTTCTTCTTCCTCACAGATCTGGGTGGTTTTCTCCAATTGGATGAAAGATGTCCTCATTGCGGGTTTTGGGTGGTCATAATTGGGTTAGAAGCATAAATAATATAGATGTCAACTGTTTATTGGGTAACTGGGACTTAAATAGCCTTGAACAGACACCATTTTAACTCACATCTTGTGACTTTGTAATAGATAAGGATAATAAACTTCAGAGTGAGT